TCGAGCCTGCACGAGCAGACGACGGTCTGCGGGTGCGGTCCCGGGCCGGCTGCACGCGCGCGCGTCCCGCGGGGGCGGCATGCGGGACTACGAGGAGGTGACCGCCTTCCTGGGCGAGTGGGGGCCCTTCCAGCGCCTCATCTTCTTCCTGCTCAGCGCCAGCATCATCCCCAACGGCTTCAACGGGATGTCAGTCGTGTTCCTGGCGGGGACCCCCGAGCACCGCTGCCGGGTTCCGGACGCCGCGAACCTGAGCAGCGCCTGGCGCAACCACAGCGTCCCGCTGCTGCTGCGCGACGGCCGCGAGGTGCCCGACAGCTGCAGCCGCTACCGGCTCGCCGCCGTCGCCAACTTCTCCGCGCTCGGGCTGGAGCCGGGCCGCGACGTGGACCTGGGGCAGCTGGAGCAGGAGAGCTGCCTGGATGGCTGGGAGTTCAGCCAGGACGTCTTCCAGTCCACCATCGTGACCGAGGTGCGTGGCAGCCCGTCTCGGGGTCTGGTGGCGAGGAGGGACCGTCGCGGTCCTTGCACCCTCCCGGGTGCGCGCCTGACGCTGTCACTCGCCGCTCACCCAACACCCAGCGAGCGCTCCAGTGATGGGCATCCTTGCGCCAAGTGGCTCGGTCCCTAAGGTGACCCAGCGAGTGTGTTTCTCACAGCGCAGGTTGGCTCCACACTGGAGTGGAGCCCAAAAGGCTCCGGCAGCCTGGGAGGTACTCTAAGACCCGAGTGGCTGATCTTTCTCTAGATGGTGGTGGGACAGATGAGGAGAAAAGCCAGGACGTGGACCAAGGGACTTCACCATTTTCCTCAAGCCTCTTAGCATCTTTTGAGAAAAAAGGAAATACTCCTCCTTCCAGAACTGTTAAAGTTAAAAGAAGCATAGAACTATCTTCTCTCCTTTCTCTAGTTGCTACACCTCATCCTACACCTCATCCCCGCAAAACAACCCGGTCACACCTTGTGAGGAATTGCTTTCCTTTTTCCCATGGTCAGTTGTCCTCTTACATGAATCGGTGCATGTGAGGATCCTGGAGTGTCTCCTGGGATATTTGAGGGAAGGTCACTGGCCAGATTTAGTTGAAGCATACAACCTTAGTTTGTAGAGAGCGGGGACAACCTTTCTTATTCTCCAGCCCCTGGAATTTTCGTCTTGGGTGGCTTTGCCCCCCAGTGATTCTGCAGTCATTCAAGCTGAGTGTATGACATGATGCTAATGGTCATGTGGATGTTTGGGGACTTGGTTAGGCACTGACACTAACTCTCTGGAGTCTTAGCACGAGCGAGTAAGCAGGGCAGTGGTAAGAACCCTCATTAGGCATTGGGTGGTTCGCTGAGTGTCAGGAGTAGAGGTTAGCTGGGTAGGGGTGGCTTCCTGGAGGAGGAGGCCTCTCACAGAGTCCGTGGTGTTGAGCTAGAGGCCCAGGTGCAACAGCAAGAAACTGTGTGAGGGGGCTGGGGATTTAGCTCAGCGGCAAAGCGCCTGCCTGGCAAGCACAAGGTTGTGAGTTCGGTTCCCGGTACCGGAGGAAAAAAAAAAAAGAAAAGAAACTGTGTGAGGAGGGCAGGAGGGAAGGAATGTAAGAAGCCCGGGGCTCTGGCGTGGCGTCAAATGCTGCTGGAGGTGGGTACTGTCATCCCCTCCAGGAGCTTTGAAGGCCTGCCGAAGGGGACTGTCACCTTTCAAAGGTAGAGTCTGAGCTGCCCCAAGAGACACACCGTGTGCACCCATATTTTCTCTGTATGTCTGAACGTTGGGTGTCCCTAGCACTGTACCTGCCTACTTACTGCACATACAAGTAGTAGGAGTATGACCTGAGCCCCGCTGGGATTTCTTATCTAGTGACGTCCTTCTAGTGTCCTGAAGCGTCGTTCCTTGACAGAAGAGGAACAGTAGGAGTCAACCTTGTGCTTTACATCCGTAGAGAATGGGAACTTTCAGTTGCCCCAAATCCTGGCTTCTAGCCTCCAGAGTGAGTCTGCTGCCTTCTTGTGAGAACCTTCACAGTGAGAACTGTGACACAGTGAGAACTGTGAAAGAAGAGGCTATCCCAGGGATTTCAAGCAGAGAGCACAGAGAAGATGACACTTTGGGACATAGAAGTTCCTACAAATTCTGCTTGTGGCTGCTCAAAGAAGGGGAAGGTGTGAACTCAGAAGCAGCTCCTGGCGTCTTGCGGGGTTTGCCCTGACATTTAGGATTCTCCAGCTTCCTGTAGTCACCTGCACTTAGTTCTTTGTGCCCATCCTGCTTTCTGCAGAGAGTGATGGTGGCATTGATGATCTCCCGAACGCCAGTTGAACAGGAAGTATCTCAACCCTCTGACCTGACCTTACTGCCAAAGTCGGTCTCTTTTTAATTAGGTTCAGATTTTATTCAGCTATCTTAGCAGTTTTGTAAGAGCTGTGTGCCCTTTTACCCACTTACAGGTTGTCAGTCTTTGCAGGGAGGCAAGATTAATACTTTACTTAGCCCTTTGTTTGGGGATGGAATGCCTGACTTAAAGTTCAAGTCTACGTGTTCCTCTCAGGTGAACAGTCACCACTGGAAAGTGCCGCATCAACATTCTGATGACTTTTTCTAAAGCCCGTTTTGTTTGACCTAGACTTGGCTTGTTAATCACTGCAGCTTGTTCTGTGCCTGCTAGGTGTCTCCAAGCCTGCCCTCTGCCCCAAATCAAGCATAGAGATGTTTGTAAGTACACTGGTACTGAATTCCTGTTCATATTTTTTGACACAGAGCTAAATCGTCAGGTCTTCTGTTTGATTTTTTCTTTTTTTTTTTTTAGGTTAAAGTACATACATGTAGCACCAAACTTTGGGGTCTTTGCATCTCCCTTCATTTCTAACACAATGCAGGGGGATTTTCCACTCAGGAAAATTTGAACTGAATGGGTTAATGAATAACTTAGGAAATCCCAAAAGTTTAAAAACTAAAGAAAAATGAGTAGTTTAATTCACAAAAGGGAAACTTGGGAGGGACCCAAAAAGAATTTACAGGCATCTTTCAAGGAAATGTGATTCCCTACCCATTTGACTAGAATGTGGTACTGTGTGTCTCTGGAACAAGACATCAAGGTTGGCAAAAAGAAGTGAAAGGGGTTTGTGTGCCTGTGTTTCAGGACTACCTCAGTGATCCACACGCTTCTTGGCTGGCCTCTCCTTTGGCCACTCTGTCATCCCTGGGCACTAGACAGTCATCCAGCCCAACCTGCAGTGCTTTGAAGACCAAGACTGCCCCCTTCTCTGGAAACCTGGGTGATTTCTCAGGTTGCTGGAGTACCTGTTCTTTGGTTTTGCCATAGACACCAGCCCAGCATGCAGGCAGAAAGGTACCCTCAGTAACTTGTAAGGCTTCTGGCCTCTAAATTAAGGCTTAGGCAGTCTTGCTTCCTGCCTGTCTCTGCTTTTCAGAAGCCCCTCCCTAGTCCTTGGTGGGATTCTTGTTTACTCCCTCTTGTCATGGACTAGCTTTTTTTAAAATCAGTTTTATCCAAGTGTCCATATTCCTGGTGGATAGGAGAGCCACACTGTCATCCGCTACTTTGTCTGCATGGAAAGCCTCAGCGTCCTGGGAGGCAGGGCAGGGCTAACCGTGGCCTAAGGAGACCAGAGTGACTCAGAACCTGTGCCGTGCTCTTGTACCTTTGCTGACTTCTCTCAGGGGAAGCACAGACCCTCATCTGTGCCTTTGCAGCAGCATAACAAACTAGACAAACCACTTGCTGGGCTGTGTGGTCCCTTGTGCATACACAGTTGTAGTAGACACATCTGGCCATGAGGTCAGATTGAGGCCTGCTCTGCACTACCTGGCTTAGAACCATCATGCTGAGTCCAAGTTCTGACAGTTGGCACAAGGCAGGGAGTCATAAAAGGAATTTAATCTGTAGATTGAAATGCAAGGTTCGTCTGGACTTTAGGCATCCAAGGGCAAGGATCAAGCTGTAAAGATGCTATTGTGAAACAGCTGTCATCATATAAACCAAGTCCATTGTCTCAGGAAGTTGAAGAATGAAATCGTAGACAGAAAGGAAGTTAAAGGGGAAGTGTTTATTGGGAATATAAGAAGAAGATGGGCATCCAGGAAGGTTCCCAGAAAGTGAGGTACCATGCAGCCCCTCGGTCCAGAACTTCTTATGGATAAGGGGAGCACAAGTATTGCTCGTTTGTTTAGTGATCACCTATCATAGGCAGCTCTCTGGGTTTAAAATGACCAGTTGCAATTCAGGCTCTCTCAGCTCCTTACTCAGCATGCAGAGTTTAAAGGAAACTAAGAAACTGATGGTTCTGCATTTTTAAGTAGAATTTAGTAGAGAGGGGCTGTACCCCATGTTGCCTGATGACCTCCTCCCTGTAAGTCCTAGTCTTATTGCTTATTCTTATTTTAATTCTTAGCAATGTGGCTGATCCCCCAGCTCAGGCCCTTTCTCTAGCTAGCTGCCTATTTGTAAGCTAACTAATATTAAATTCATTTATACTATGATGCTGAAGGGTGGTGGTCCTTTTGTTAATCCATTTACTCACTCCGCTATGTATCAAACAGCTCCTGAGCTCTCTCTCCATACACTTGTAGAGGATATGGTAGCCAATATCTCCTCTCTATGCCCCAGCAGTGTTGGGGCAACAGTCTCTTGCCCCAGCAGTCTTCATTAAATGTATTTCATTTTGAGATTGGGTCTTGCCATTTTGCCCATGCTTGCCTTGAATTCCTGCTCAAACAATCCCCCTCCCTCAGCTTAGTAGCTAGAGCTATATAGACTTGTGGCACCATGCCCAGTGAGGGAGCACCATTAACAGTAGTGGGATGCGGGATGAAATGTATGTGGGAATACGTAGCCTTCAGTAACACATGGTGCCTACGGGTGTACTTGACCACTGATGCGGACAGACTAAGTGCACCTCAGGGAAGAACTATCACCTTATGGGCACATATCCTAACTCTTTTCCCTAACAGGCAGTTCATGGGTAAGAACATTTAGTCCCAGGGAACTATGTCTTCTCTCTACATCCCATAGCTGAAAAGCTGTTCCAGTTATGCACAAGATCCAAAAGACAGTTCCTCTTTTTAAAAAAGTTTATCAACTGTATCAAGGCAGATAAATGCTATCAAGAACCTGGACAGATGTAAAGTGTGCAGTTTGGAAAGCTTTGACACACATACCTGTGCACCTTGGAAGACATCTCTTCGGGAAGGCACGTTTCTGAGCAGGAAGACAGTGAGGCCAGGCCCTTTGCCAGAGTTTCTTCTGTGTTCTTTCAGGTTGGACCTGCTTTCACAGATCACCTAGGTAATGATGCTAGACTTATGATCTAAATTTTAAGCCCATACATTTACTTTTAACATTGATATCTGCTGTCCTCAGCCAGTATAACCCATCTTATATGCCAAGAAGAGACATCAATAAGCAGGTCTGTGGCTATTTTAGTCATAGATGGGGAGCCAGGAGCTCAGTACAGGAACACCAGATGTTAACTCATTAAGTAGGGTACTTAGCCTAGACTCTATGGTCTTCTCATCCCTTCCCTCCTAAGGAGGATTCAAGCCAAGACCTAGAACCTATTGAAATATAGTTAAGTCCCATACAGAAGGTTAAGCTTGGGTAAATAGATGCACCTTGAGACCATACTCTTAAGTGAAATAAATCGGACACCTGTAAATACCACATTATTTCTCTGGTGTGAAAATCAAAAGTGTAAATAAGGACCAAAATGTATATTGGATATTGTGAAATAGGAAGAAAATGTTCAAATGGGGAGGGGCGTAAGGGAGGGGGAGGGAGAAAGGAAAGAAGAGTAAAAGAGAAAAGAAGGAAAAATAGAAACAAAGCATTTGTAAATGGGGAGGGGAGGAGGGGTTGAAGGGAGGGTAGGAGAATGGGAAAAATCATAGGTACAAATTCTCTATGATGAATGTGATCATTATGTATATCTAAAATGTACCAATTTTAAAAAAGAAATACACTTAAGTGGATGGACTGGCTAGGTGGGACTGATTCCTTGCCTGCCCTTATGTTAATTTTTGAAACCTATCACCTTTCATGACCCTACTCACAGACCCCCGGCGGACAGTAGGAAAGAAGTGTCCATGCATGTGTCCTTTCAGAGGGCCCAGAGCCAGGCCCTGCATTGTCAGGGACTTTATAGATAGTGGGCACGGTTCCTCCAAGGAGTTACACACTTGCCCAGACTAAGAACAAGCTGGCCCAAGGGCAGAGAGAGGGGGTGCAGAACCCCAGATCCCCCAAGGCCTGTCTCACGATGGGCACTACAGTCACTTGTCCTCTGAACAGTGGCCTGACCTAGTTTCAGCCTTGCCAGTGTAGAGTTTCCTGGAGGCTTGTTTTGGGGAAACCCAGCTGGGGTCACGGCAGACCCCGGGACTCACTGCAGAAACCCATGTAGTATTCTTGTCTAACTCAGCCATATGATCCTCCAACTCGCATTGAAAGACCTGCTGAAAAACACCTGCTGGCCTTTTATTCATCATTTCATCTTTGTCACTGCAGAGGTAATAGAGTGGCAGCAGCCACGAGCCGGCCCTGCAGCTCAGCCTGACACCCATCATTGATTCTCTTGGCTCTGTCTCCCCACCACTCCCAGTCCTGGCTCTGACAGTTCTGGTGGAAGGGGCTGTACTCAGAGTCCTCTCCACCTGCCAGAGCAGGCGCATCTGGGTGCTGGGGCTGCTGAAGCTGCTCGAGTAGGAAGGCTGCAGCAGCCTGAGTGTAGCAGCCGTTGTGCTCAGTGTCCTCGACTCCTGCCAGTCTGGGCTTCCCCCAGATTTGGGAGTTGGATACCCCCCAGTTCTTCCCTGGGTTGGGATCGCATCCCATTTAGCCTATCAGGTGCATGTTTGTTCCAACATAGAGTCTGCAGCATGCCTGAGTGAACCGTGTGGGCTGCCGGGGTTCTTTCTGTCCAGCCAGAGGGCTGCCCCCCGCTGCCTCGGACAGGTGCCCAGAGGCTGTGTGCATGGCCTCGCAGATCAGAAAAGCAGACTTGCTTTTCCTTGTCAGTGGCCTGGCAGAGATGCGTTGTTCTGGGGAGCTGCACACCCCCATCTCTGTTGGTTACTGGGGAGCCAGCAGGCTCTATGGAGGGCAGGCCAAGCAGGCAGGGCTTGTGTACTCAGGATGGGGGTGCTGCAGAAGTCCAAAAATGTCACTCACTACTCTGCACAGTCTCTCTTCTGGGAAACATTTTCCTGGGTATCGCAGAGTTTCCTGAGTTGGCTTTCCTGCTTCTGTTGGCTCTTTTTTTAGGCTGGGTGTCTGAGTGTCTAACTGCTTCCTCATGCTCCTCCTGGAACCACATATTAGGTGCTGGAATCTTGAACAGGGCAACCGTTCCACATTCCAATCTCTGTTTTACAGAAAGAAAACTTAAAGCAGGGTGTCGGACTTGTCTGGGATTAGACAAGCAGTTAACACTAGAACGGAATTTAAGGCTTCGTTTCCTTATGCCATGTGATCCGAGAATGGAGGGAGGGCTCCACCCCAAAACAGTACTTCTGGAGTTGTGTCTGCTCTACCCTATCTGTCTGGATGTGCTCTAGAGCCTCCTAAAAATCAGTTTACAAGACTATTAACTTATATAGTGCTCAAATGGGGATACAGATCCCTCTGGCTCACAGCTGGTTGCTGCTCCTTTTGCAGTCACCCTTGGCATCAGTCTCAGCTAGTCAGATCGCAGTGCAGCAGGCACCACCACAAAGCTTTAAAGCAGCAGGTAGCTTGGCCGTCAGAATCATCCTCTGTTCTATTAACCTGGAAAAAATTGTGTAGAAAGGATACAGAGCTATTTTAAGACAGTGTCTCCTTCTACCAAGAGAAGAGGATAGGATCGGATGGGGTGGACAAGTCAGCTGTCATCTGTAACCCTGCATTGCTGCTTAATCTCCAGCTATAATGGCAAAATGTTCACAGGTGTGAAATAGCATGAAGGGTACAAAATAACTTCTGTTATCTTCTGCTCTTGAGTGTGTGAAATATGTTACGATTAACATTTAAAAATTTGTTAATTATGTACTTAGAAGATCATATTCTACTTGTTCATCAGGAAGTTGTAGGACATCCTTTGATGAATCCATCATCCTCCAAGTTCTGGGCTCACTATACCTGGTCTCCAAGGGAAAGTAATCATGATGGCAGCTGTGGGTGGGACAGGATGATTTTGAAGTTCAGGATGGTGTCATAGTTCCCAGGCTGGGGTGGCATAAAAGTGAACCCATGGACCGTTGATACACAGTATGTCCCTCCATCCAAGCATTTGCTTCTCTTGTGATCCCCCAAAGTTTTCTCCCAGTCTGCCTGATTCCCTTCCAGAAAGGAGGCATATAATGACCCCGTTGAGACCACAGCCTGATCGTGTGCTGGTCTCTGGGAAAGGGACTGAAGTTGATGTTATGAAGTCTTGCAGATGGACTCAATGGTGTAAATAGGCCTGTCTGAGAGAGGCAGAAGAGAACAAAGACAAGCCCCTTCACTGGCGTTTTTCCTTTCCAACCAGAAGAACCCATGATACTTTATGTCCTATTAAAAAGTCGAGCTTCTCCAAAATAAATAAACCCAGTTTCCTGACTTCTAGCACAGAGCTCTCAGTCTTAACTGGGCCTAGTACTGTTGTTGTGCAGTATCAGGGATTCTAGCCCTGAATGTTGCAAGAAGGACTAGGGGTCATTGGCCCAGGAGGGGCCTGAGCAGAGCTGAAGAAGCAGGTCCATATGGTTTGTTTTTGTTTTTGTTTTTGTTTTTGTTTTTATGCGGTACAGGGGATTGAACTCACAACCTTGCACTTGCCAGGCAGGCGCTTATGCCACTGAGCTATATCCCCAGCCCCAGGTCCGTATGGTTTACCTTTGGACCTCTGGCCTCATTTCCAGCCTTGCTGGGTGCTTTGGCTTCTTAAACTCCACTGAGTAAGGGCATCCTTCGGTTCCATAGCTACGGGAATAGCTCCTTCACACATTCTTAGGTGTGAGCACGAGAGGCCTTGTTCACGGGAGGTCAGTATGTGGGGAGGACACTGTTTCCTGCCTGTTTCCCTTCCTCGAAACAGAAGCAAGGCAGGGCTGGGGATTTAGCTCAGCGGCAAAGTGCCTGCCTGGCAAGCACAAGGTCGTGAGTTCGGTTCCCAGTACCGGAGAAAAACCAAAAAAAAAAAAAAAAAAAAAAAAAGAAGCAAGGCAAAGGGCCCCAGTCTCTGAAAAACAGGATGGGGGTGGAGAGGCAGCCTGCCCAAGTGAGCCATTACCTGTGAAATTGAATTCGTACACCTAGCAGGGATGCAGGATATTCTGATTTCAGTTTTTAAATTTAAAACCTTCTCCAAAAAGAAGTGAGTGATACATCCTTTTGCTCCTCTTACAGTGGAACCTGGTGTGTAAGGACGACTGGAAGACCCCGCTCAGCATGTCCCTGTTTTTTGTGGGTGTGCTGTTGGGCTGCTTCATTTCGGGGCAGCTCTCAGACAGGTAAGGTGTCTGTCTCCTGCAGCTGCAATCCCCAGCCCTGAGCAAGAAGCAGGTGTCTGGCCTTGACTTCATCAGTAGTGTTCTCTCAGACCAGGGCCTTGCACTTTAATGGGAGAGGAAACCGTGCCCAGTATAAACTTTATGCCCAAGGATCTCTCACCTTGCTCCTTAATTCTTGCTGAGTAAAGAAAGCTGAGCTGTCCAAGCCAGCTGCAGTCATGATGCAGTAATCAGGCACTATGTCACTGTTACCTCTGCACTTGATGGCTCACCTTCCCCAAGTGAACACAGCACTCTCGTGTCCTCGAATGTGGGAGAGGTTGATACCATGCATACAAGTGCATTCCCTGCTTTGTAGATCTGTAGGTAGTACCACAGAGAGCACCTCTGTATTCCCAAGAAGACCAGCATTTTCTATGCAAATAAGAAGAGATCTCACTACTCCTCAGAGCTATAAGGAGCAGAACTCTTTATCTCCACCAGGCTGAGGCCCCTTAGCTAAATCACAGGTAGTTTGTTTTTTGGTGGTTTTTTTTGAGTATTGGGAATTGAAGCTAGGATTTCACACGTGCTAGCCTCAGACTTGCCAAACATGAGGTGATCCTGTTGCCTCAGCCTCCCAAGTCCTGAGATTACAGGCATACTCCACTATGCCCAGCAGTTCCAAAGCTTTTCATTTAAGGTCCATCAATGGTTTAGAAAACCCAGAAACACTTGAAATTACATGAAAATAGTAGAGATGGTGTGTAAGCCCTCTTTTTTGGAGCTAGTTTTCATGAAGTTCTCATAAAGTGTTCCATTATGTTGTATCTTCCTATCCTGGTGTTTCAGGGTCTGTCATGGAAGCCTGAGATAGGAAGAGTGGCATTCAGCAAGTCCTTGGCCACAGTGGCACAGAAAGGACACCACATAATCCGTAGCTCACCCAGTGGAGAGGAGTTCCAGCACGCTGGTTGGGGACTCATGGAAGTCGGAATGAGAACATCACTCTCCTAAGGAACAAAGACACTTTATCCTGTGTCTAGGGAAGCTAGAGGGATGCCACTGTGTCATAACTGACACCTGTGCATTATTGTCACATTTTTTCAATGGGAATAAGTCAGCTTCCCACTGTTACGACAGAAAAATTCAATATGTGTGTCTTGGTTACTTTTCTCGCATTGCTGAGACAAAATACCTGACGCCCAGATTTAAGTAAGGAAAGGTTTATTTAGCTCACAGTTTGTAGAAGTGTCAGTCTATAATCACCTGGCTCCAAGGCAGGGTGGCACATGGCAGAGGGCAACAGTTCATGGCGGTAGAAAACAGCAAAAAGCAACAAGAGCAAAAGGGGGGAGCAGTGGCAAGCAGCCTCTTTCCCTCCCTTACATTGTATGGAAACTACCCAACCCAGGGCAGGTGTAGCACTCACATCCATAATTCCAACACTGGACCATCAGTCAGTTATAAACTCTAGAAGCCCACCCCATGACTGCACGAGGCTTTGCGGGGACATGCAGACACAAACCATAACAATGTGCATTTCTGGAAAGTGTCTTGTAGTGACTAAAAACAGGAAAATTCCCGTAGTCACCAGTAAGTATTAGAGCTCAGTAGGCCATGAGATACTTACTCTTGTGGGGAGAAGGCCTTTGCTTCCCTGGATCTTTAATCTCATAGCAGGTATCAATTATTTACTTATATTGATTTAACAAATATGCAGTACTTAAAATACGTGTTACTCATTGTTATAAGTACTGTACAGTTTTTAAAAAACCTCATAACCCTATAATGGAATATGTTAGCTTCTCACTGTTATGACAGAATGCCTGGGGAAAATCAACTTAGAGGAGGAAGGATTTATTTTGGCTGACAGTTTCACATGTTTCAGGTTATGGTCGCTTGGGTCCATTGTTTCTGGGCCTGAGGGTTGGTACAACAAAAGGTGCTCACCTCGTGGCAGCCAGGAAGCTCAAAGGGAGCTCACTTTTATAACAAAGCCCCTTCCCCAAGTACATAAAGCCACATGGATTAATCCACTGATGAAATAAGAGCCTTTGTATTCCAGTCACCTTCCAGCTCCACCAAACCCCGCTCCACCAAACACCGCTCTGAACACCGCTCCACCAAACCCCCAGCCTTAAACACACGAGCTTTTGAGGGATATTTAAGATTTAAACCCCTTGAGTTCAACACCCAGCACTGGCCTCCCCCAAATACATTTTCCCATCTTATAAGCGGGGAGAATGAAACGTGGAGGTTAGGTCACAGGCCCAAAGTTACAGGGCTGGCAAGTGGCAGATTAGGGCAGATAGGGTGTGGACCCCAGACAGCTGGCTCCTCCACTTTGTGTCAACTAATACTTGCAGTCCCTGTTCTCCTAGAACTTGCCTTCTGTAAGGGCAAGGCACAGTGTATTCAACAACTGATTAGAAAGCAATTATCGTTGGCCATGGAAAGTAATATAGAGAAATACAAAGCGCTATGGGAGCATCTAGCCGGAAGTCAGGAGGGCGTCCCTGAGATGTGAGCCGTGAGCCAAGCGCGGGAAGGTGAAATGAGGCAGCTCAAAGGGTGGCGAGAAAAGCCTTCTGGGCAGGTAGAATGTCACATACTAAAGCCTAGAAGGGAAGCTTAGGAACACAGAGTCCCACGTAGTAGAGATGAGGACCTTGAGGTAGACAGAGGTGCACACAGAACGGGAGAGGGCACAGAAGACCATAAGGAGGAATTTGGGCCTCATCGTTGAGCCATTGAGAATTTATAAAATAGGAGTGTGATGGCAGTTTTGTGCTTTTTTTTTCACCCCCAGCACTAAGTGGTAGACCCATGGTCTTCACACTGACCTGTACAGTCTTCTGTTTTTCTTTTCTTTGTTTGTGGTTTTTTGTTGGTTTTTAGCCAAGGTCTCACTAAGTGGCTAAGTTACCCAGGCTAGGCTCAAATTTGGTAATCCTGCTGCTTCAGCCTCCCGGCATAATGATAGTACAGGCATGCACCATACCCAGCCAGATTTGTATTTTTTAAGAGGTGATGTGACAACCTTGTGGAGAAAGGATTGAAGAGATGTGAAGAGATGAGTTTCGTAGTAGTTCATGCAAAGGATGGTGGTGATTTGGCCTATAGTGAGGTTAGCAGAAATGGAGAAAAATGGTAGGGGTAAAATCAACAGGATTTGCTTGCTGATGGGGTACAAGTGGGAAGTGAAGCAAGAGTAATGCCACATGCCTATAATCCCAGCTATTTGGGAGGCTGAAGCAGGAGGATTTCAAGTTTGAGGTCAGCCTGGGCAATTTAATGAGACCCTGTCTCAACAATAATAAGTAGCCAGGCTGGACGTGGTGGTGCACAGCTGTAATCCCAGTACTTGGGAGACTGAGGCAGGAGGATCGTTGTGAGTTCAAGACCAGCCTGGGCTACAAAGTGAGCTCAAGGCCAGCGTGAACTGTATAGCATGACCCTGTCTCAAAAAGACAGAAATAATAATAATAATAATAATAATAATAATTAGCCTAAGGAACTTAATGAGATCCAGTCAGTTGATACACAGGTACATGGATGGATAGATAGGCAGACAGGCAGGTTGGCTGGCTGGCTAGAGATGTAGCACAGTGCTCTCTGGATTTATCCCCAGTACCATTAAAGGTTTTGGGTCTCCTTAACTCACTGAAAGATGATACCCTTCTCTAAGACAGAGAATGCTAGCAAAGAACCTTATTTGCAGAGAAGATGTTGATTTAAGTTGGAACATACCAAATTTGGGGGGATGGGACCCTTATGTTGAGAAATCAGTTATGTGGCTAGATATATGGATATGGTGCTCTGTGAGAGATTCAGGCTGGAGAAGCAGATTTGAGAATTGTTAGCCGTGTAGAACCCACATCCAAGCCTCAGATGTGGACAAGATGGCCGGGGAAGAGCGAGCAGGAGAAGGGGAGGGACAGGACTGAGCTCAGAGGCCTCCACATGGAGAGGGGGCGTCCTGTCCTAGGGAGAGCGGCAGCCAAGGCTCAGAGGAGTTGCACTGGTGTGCAAAATGAGGAGGTGCTCCAGGTTCAGAGTGGAAACTCAATATGTTTCCCTGAGTCAGATGCGTCGTGGGTGAAGTGGATCTTAATGGGCCAGCTTATGAACCTGTTTATCATGTCACACCATAATCACGCAAGGAAAATGTTTATGTTGCAGAAGGATTACTTCCACAGAAACAGTGGAAACAAGATTTAGGAGCGTGTTGAGAATCTTCTTGGCCTACAGAAAGGCTGGCATACATAGTGTGTTTCAAATCTTTTAAAAAATTTTGGCAGCAGAACATTCTTTTAAGTAGGGTCGTTGAAGTTCAATAAATGAAATAGCAAAATAGTATGACAGTCCTGACTGCGGCTGCACCGCCCCTCCTTGAACTCTGCTGCACTCCCATGGCGGTGCAAGGCTCTGTGGAATGGAAGCTTCTCATCTTATCAGCTCTAAGGAAGCTAATTCTAAAACCTAAGCCATGTGAATCACCTAAGAGCTGTAGATTCATGCCCTTAACTGTTATCTACGGTATCAGCAGGAACTTTTTATATGGGACAAAGGTTTATTTGGCCTTCTTTCTACCATATTATGAAGTCTGAAGTTTAAGAGTAATTAAAACAACCCTGGGTTGCCAAAGCCTTTTATCTGACATTATTGAGTTATCTTTATTAATTATGGGAGGCACAGCACTTGGAAGAGATAGACCAGTGTTTCCTGTTTTGGTAGACAGGTATGTGTTTATCATTTGGTCAATGGACTTTAAAAAGTAGGCATTTCTGGTCCCAACCCCTGACTGCCCAGGGCTAGGGGACCTTTCCTTCTTTAGCATCCAAGGGAATGCTTGGGAAAGAGGCGGGCGGAGGTCGTGCCAGTCTGCCTTGTAGCCCACCCCTTAGTCAGCACGTGGAGCCCCCTTGGTACAGCAGTGCAGGTGGAATGGAAGTTTCCTTCTAGACCTGGCTTTCTCAACCTCAGCCCTAATGTTGCTTTGTGGTCGGGGGTTACCCTGGCCATTTCAGAATATTTACCAACATCTCTGGCTTCTACTTAACAGAGGTCAGTAGCACCCCCTCCCTGAGTTGTGACATTCAAAACACAAATAGCAACACAAACTTGCATTGAGGAAAAACAAACTCACGCAGCTGAAAGGCCTTGTGCAGTTTGGGGGCTGATTCCCCTCCTATTGCACAGGCAGTGCCAGCTCCACCAGCTCCAGGTTCTCCATACTGCTTCCAGTCACAGTGGTGTGTGCTCTTCTCAGTGTCTAAAGTCCCTGCCCCACCCCCAGGACTCTGTCTCAATGGTGCGGGCTGACTCAGGTGACAGCTTTACATTACCCTGGTTCCCGTGACTTGGCATCCTTACACATGGCAAATTGCTAAATAAGTTCTGTCATAGCATTAATGCTGGTCTCCTCCACTAGACTGAGGGTGTCTTTGAAAGCTTGGTTCCTATGGTCTCAATCCCCTGTTGTCCACACTGGCTTTTTCTTTGGGTCTCATCAGTGTACCATTTCATATCTGAGCATCGTTTTTAAAATTTTACTGAAAACCCTAATACCTAGGTGTCGTTCTGTCCAGTGTGACAGGTCTGGAGAATGAGGTGCTTGTGGATGAAAAGAAAAGTAAGAGAAACAAGAAAAACAAGAGAGACAAAGTTCTGGGATCAGGGGGCGTACAGCCTCTTGGACTGCAGCCTCGAATACCAATTTCAGTCACCTTTTATTGAGCAAAAACCAAGGGCGTAGCTAATACAAACAGGCAGATACCAAATGGTTTTTAGCAAGGATAATCAAAGGATTATCCTTCTCCACATGTAATCTAAGACATGCCTGTAATCCCAGTACTCAAGAGGCTGAGACAGGAGGATTGTAAATTCAAGGTTAATCTGGGCTGTATAATAAAGACTTATCTTAAGAAACTCTAAGAAATAATAAATAAATCATTGTTTCCTCAATGCATTCTAATGAAAGAATGTCCTTCTCCACACCTAGGATAATACACGTTCAGTAAGTGTCCCTGAAGGAAGGTTTCGGCCAGCTTTGGCCAGATTGAAACTGCAGTTACTGCTTACCACTAGATCACCTTACTCCTCCTGTTTGTGGTACTTTCTTTAAAAGAAACAAAAAAATTCAAAAAATTACTAAGTGTAGATATAGAAAACCACACAGAACAAATGTGTGATTTATGAGTTAACCCAAGGAAATCTTATAACCACCACCAAGCCATGCAATGAACTCTGCTGTCTACCAAGAAGCTCGGTCTGTGTGCCCATCCCAGTTACAACCCCCACACGCTCCCTCGCCACGCGTAGCCACTAACCTGACTCCCGACACTACTCACTTCCTTGCCAGTAGGATCGTAATCCCAAAAGACATCATCTCTAAGACCATAATCCCTAAATCTAAATCCTGAAAGATTAAAATCCTGAATGTTGAAATCCTAGAAGCTAAATTCCTAGTGGAAAAAATGCTAAGTAAGAGGAGTAGAAAGCCTCATTCTGGGGAAGGGATTCGTGCATTTTTCATTGTGCACGGGGTAGTTGCACCATGTTCAATGCAGTGAAGCCTGGAAACCCCGTACTGGATTATCGGGGGTTTTCTGTGAAGGTGTTTTATGAAGAGACTAGTGTGTACGTCTGAATGGACCTGGAGGGAGAGCTGTATGTAGAAATTTAGTGTGAATGTGTTTGTTCTCCAAGAAAAGCCATTCCCTAAAACAAAAAAAGGAGCTACTTATCATGAGCAAGACTTCAAACAATAATGATTGTGTAATTGATTACCTATTATCTCTGTAATACAAATTTCTGGGGTTGCTGGGGATAGAACCCAGGGCCTTGGATATGCTAGGCTTCATGTGCATACTAAGCTACATCCTCAGCCTGTAATACACTCTTTTATATGTTGTTTTCTTTTTCATTTATTTGTGTCTTCTTCTTTGCAAAGTTTTTTCCCCAGCTATTTTATTTATTCTTTTGGTGCTGGGAATTTAACCCAGGACCTTGAGGATACTTAAGCATACAACCTATCTCTGATCTACACCCTCCCTCACTCCAGTATTTTAAATTGCCAGCATTATTTTTTACAACTCTTCATGCTATTTATTTCATCTTTGCATCATTTCCAATACTGGAGACTTAGACTGTGTAAAGACATTTAGAGAGTTCTAATTCCTTTTCTGTACTTTATCAAACTCGACTCCATGAAAGTGCCTTATCACACTATTTTGTGTAAACATTGTGCATGGAAGTAAAACTGCTGGAAAGCTAATAAATGAAAAGATGTTTAGTACCTCTGCATTTGTGAAAGATACAACTTCTTGTGGTCTCAGCTCCTTGGAAAACTACATATACAACAGCAATACATCAGGGTTTTCAATTGCTCTCATCAAAGGACTTAGAGTTTTGGGCTGGAAATGTAGCTCAGTACATTTGCTCAGTAGGCCACTTGCCTAGCATGCATCAGGCCCTGCCTGAATTTGATTTCTAGCATCAAGAAGGAAAAGACTTAGATTACCCATCACAATATTTTAAGTGACTCCAATCATAAAGCCGTGTGCATAATTACCAGCCATATTTGTGTATACGTTTTACTTTTTGACTTATTTCTTTGAATATGCTTTGCTTGTAATTGTTATGCACATGTGACTGTTGCTGAGTGTTTATGCTTGCAAAAAGTGTGTTATTGTATATCACTGCATATGAAATGTTTTTGTTTTTTAATATTTTTGCTGTTTTTATGTTTTTCACCTCTTCTTTAAAAATGTAAATTAATGTATTTTAAATAATTTTTTAAAAAATTTTTTTCCAGAATGATATTTTCAGGATTTTGGTCACGTGAGATTTTTAGACTTTAGGGATTTTGATCTGTCAGATTTCATCATTCAGGGTTATGGAGGTCAGGACTATTTTTTTATACTTTCATCATCCTAATGTGCATCTTTAGACACAAATTTAGTCTTACCAACTAAAAATTTTGATGTCTTTTAATGTACTTTATTTTTGTGAGGTAGAGAATTGAACCTAGAGCTTGGTGAATGCTAAACAAGTGCACTTCCTTGGAGCTCCATCCCTGGCCCTAGTCTACTTTAAGCTATGGATTTTCCTTCCATCCCTTTTTTTGCCTGAAATTTTATCTTTTGAAGAATGCTGGGCTCTCTACCTATGTAATTTCCTACTGTGGACTTTGCTGACTGCATTTCGGGCGCAGTACAGCATATTCCTGTTTTCTCTGCACTGCTTGCAGATGGGCAGCTGGATGTAGACACTCATTCAGAGTCAGTCCCTTAGGCAGCACAGCATCTGTCTCTTCATGATGTTAGCAGTCGTTTATTCCCGGTGTCTCAGACTGTTGACTCCTGGGAGGGGAGCTATAAAACGGCAGTATTCTAATTTTATCACTTTTCATTTAATATTTAAAATACTTTTTATAAATGATTCTTCCCAGCTTTATTGGTTGCTCTTCACATTGTTTATAATGGGAAGTCAAGATGAATGCTTCTTTCCCTTTATTTATCAGTCTTCATTAACAGTGAATTGTTTCTCTGTCATCCTCCAAAGTTGACTAATAGTTTTTGAACTATCACTGTGAATGTATAGATTTAAGCATAGGTGATATGGTTTAATCTGCTGCAGATACTACCATAATGGTGGCGCTGTCTTTTGGTACCCAGGCTGCAAGTATATTCCTTCCGCGTGGGAGTGGGGAGGGACACTGGGGGCTGGGAAGCTGGGACTGTCCTGGCTCTGGGTACCCTGGTGACACTGTGAGCCCTCCCTGAGTGGGGCTGGGGAAAGCCCCTCTTGGTGGAGCCCGTTCTTGCTGCCTTTCCCAGCTGGCTCTCTGTGACTCTCCTTTCCTTCCCAGGTTTGGTCGGAAGAACGTGCTGTTTGTGACCATGGGGATGCAGACTGGTTTCAGCTTACTGCAGGTCTTCTCAAAAAACTTCGAGATGTTCACAGTACTCTTTGTCCTTGTCGGCATGGGCCAGATCTCCAACTACGTGGCAGCATTTGTCCTGGGTATGGCCATCCAGTTGGAGTTGAGTACTTGATCCTGTGTTTCACCATCATCCTGCCACCCACCTTTCTGGAGGCACCTCTGATGCCCTGCGGGTTCTGGGTGATTTCCAGCACCTCTGGCTAAAGCTTCCTGATGAACCCAATTTATTAGGAGGGAAACTGAGCCAGACGCGTGACCAGCCTTGGGTCCCAGTAGCACCATAGCCTGACATCTGATTTCTGCTTTTCTGGCCTCTGAGGTGTGGAATCTTGATCTTATTAGTACTTGAAGCCATTTTACTTCACCAGAGATCATCCATTTAAAAAATTCTACTCCTGTTGAGGTAGCTGGCAAAGAGGGGGGTACGCTGTGAGGAGTAAAGGCTATGGTGGACAGGCTCCCCAGGAAGAGAACTGCAGGGCGTTGTGGCCAGTGACGTCTATGAAAGAGAATAGTTGGGCAGGAACAGGTAGAGTACCGCAGGGTTTAATCCCAGTTAGCACACGTGCATGAGCACGCACACACGCACGAGCATACGCACACATGCACAAAATTTTAAAAGATACTCTAGCACATAACATATAACACACCAGCATTTGCGTGGCTTCAGGTTCAATCCCAAGGACACAGCAGGCTCTGGCTCAGATGTGCCAGCCTGTTCTCTCTGAGGTGTCAGTCTCATTGTCTGGAGGAGTCTGACTAGCTGATAGTCTCTGGGTTCTTTGAGTTTTATTGTGGAGAGGGTTATTTTTTCTTTTCACGGTTTATAGAGCATCTTTTTCCTCCAAGGATAATAGCTGCAGTAATAGCTTCCGCCCTAATAAGTTCTCCCTGATAGGAATTTGCAAGGGGCCCCAGTATGGGCTGTGAGCGTGTGGCTCAGGAAAGTGCTGAGCTGTTGCTGAAGGGTTGAGAGCTTCAGGGAAGCAACCCCAGGACATGGTTAGACTGGACTGGATTCACATCCAACCACTACCCTGGTCTTGGGAGCATAAAGATAATTCTGACTGCCTTCTTGTCTGTACGTTGAAAGTGATGCCATGCAAGGTTAATAAGGAAATAACTCAAATTAAAGTGCTCACTTGACACCTCCCTTGTTTTGAACAGGAACAGAAATCCTTGGCAAGTCAGTTCGTATTGTATTCGCCACACTAGGAGTGTGCATATTTTTTGCATTTGGCTTCATGTTGCTGCCACTGATAGCTTACTTCATCAGAGACTGGCGGATGCTGCTGCTGGCGCTGACTCTGCCCGGGGTGTTGTGCGTGGCGCTGTGGTGGTGAGTATGCCTGGTGCTACCTTCCAGCAGGATAGCTTCTGTCTGGTTTCACTAGAGGGCAGCAGCAGCCCTCAAATCCCCGTTAGAGCTCCCAGAGACAGGAAGCGTAGATTATTGTAAATTGTTTCAGAATGTCTCTCCACCCTCAGTAGAACCAAACAAAAGGGAATCACAAGACATCCGCAGACATGTTCTCATCCCTGTGCCAGGTTGATCTGAGTGCAGAGAGAGGAAGAAGTAGCTGTGAGAAGGCAGGGTCCATTGTGACCTCCAGATCTCAGGACAAGACAGTAAAGCTCTGGGCAGGTCTCAGGGCAAAACTGAAGCTCTGCTTCTAACTGCGTGTGGCTGAGGCTTCACGCCACGAGCATTAGGAGAAGAGGAGCTCCAAAAGAGAGCACTCAAGTGATTGCAGGTCTGTTGGCTAAATCAGGGTAGGCAGAAGTGAGGAAAAAACAGAAGAGGGCAGCACAGAAGTTTCTGTGGATGCCAGGGACAGGGAGAGGGTGTAGCAGGTTCTGGGTGGGTAGAGCCCTTCATGGGAAGCAGTCTTCCAAAGCCCCTGTTGCAGATGTTTCCTGGAACCCAGCAGGGGGCACCATCGCTGGAGATTCCACAGTAGGCAGCTAGTGCAGGATCCCCTCAGCCAGGGTAGGCCCCCAGGTTTGTGCCCTGCAGGTGCTCCAGAGTCACACTCAGGTCATTACCGGGTATGGGCCATCTCTGGGCTTCTGGCTTGTGAACAGACATTCCACAAACCTGGCTCTGGATCTACAACCTCATTTTCTACTTTGACTTGTGCTGTACCTCATCTATTGGGCAGAAGGCCTCACTGGGAATGTACTTGTACTTCTAGGTTCATCCCAGAGTCCCCCCGGTGGCTCATCTCTCAGGGGCGATTTGAGGAGGCAGAAATAATCATCCGCAAGGCTGCCAAAATGAATGGGATTGTGGCACCCTCCACCATCTTTGACCCGAGTGAGGTAAGCACCATGTGGGAACTGGCTGGGGGCAGGGCGCGCTGGCCCTGATTTGAGGGCAGCAGCACATAGCTCTCAAGTCTTCCCTACTGCCGGGGTCCAGCCCTTGCTCTGCCTGAGCTCCAGCGCTCCCCAAGCAGGGAGAAGTCAGCTGGGTGCTAGGACACACACCTATCATCCTAGTACTGGAGAGGTTGAGGCAGGAGGATTGTAAGTTCAAGTTGGCAAGACCCTGTCTCAAAAAATTAAAAGAGCTAGGGATATAATTTAGTGGTAGAGTACCGCAGGGTTTAATCCCAGTTAGCACACATGCATGAGCACGCACACACGCACGAGCATACGCACACATGCACAACTCAAAATTTTAAAAGATACTCTAGCACATAAGATATAACGCACCAGCATTCAGTCCCTTTTTGCCCTCCAGCGGTTGGTTGTCACCGTACGTTGGAGCCACCTCCTTCCTGAGGTCCACCTCTTCCTTCTGTCCCCACCCCTCCCTGCAAGCCCGACTCTTACACACCATGAGTAATTTCTTGGCTCTGTCTGGTTGCTGGTTCTTGTACCTCTGTTCCCTCTCCTTCTACCCTTTCTGCAGCAGGCACTTTTTCCTGGCTCAGGACTATAAGAAGAGGTTAGAAGCTGTAAATGCTGGCTGATAGGCTTCGGGAATACGTCTCTAGTCTGATGGGAAGATAAGGAGCTGGCTGTTGGAACAGCCGTGAGGAGTCATGCTGATGTGTGACAACAGGCGTGTTAGAGACAGTCCAGCCATCTCTGCTATCTTCTCATTCAGAGAAGAGCTGCAGGCTTGAGGCTTTGGACAGAGGAACCAGCCTGGAGGCCAGTGGCTACTGAGAGTCCTGCTGCCCTCCCACTGAAGTGTAGCTTCTCAACCGCTGTCACTCAGCACATACCAGGAAGGGCCCTGCAGCACAAGGGCAGGGTAGGGGTGCGGCAGACAGGGCTTTTAAGTGAGGTGGCTTCAGTGGCTGATAAGTGAGGGGTCAGTCTGGGTGAACCCATAAACCTCATTGGTGTCTTTGAGGAAATGAGGCTATTTCAGGGGATCCTTTAAGTCTAAAGCTGACCTTTTGTTGAACTGCTAACTTGGGAAAAACAAGCTCCAAAGCTGCGTTTGCTTAAGAGAGCAACATCAGTATGTTTAGACATGCAGTTTATTAATGGCCTGGGCTGTGCTGAATTTCATAGGAAGTTACTCTGGGTGAAGCTCAGGTCAATTTTCCTGTTTTTCAATTTTAATTTTTTTCCCCTGGAAGTAGACCAATAACTATTTAGTATGAGGACTCAAAACATTCATTCTTTGTAGATGTCGGATCAGTAAACTGTGCAGCCTGTTTCTCTCTCTGACCCACAGGGAAGGCAGCCAGCCCTGGAAGGAAGGCCTAGAGGGCTCCCTGGAATGTGGCTGCCGACGCTGGGCCGGGTGGGTGCAGTGAGGGAGCTGTCCGCCTGGCCCCCGCGCCTTTGCTGTGCTCTTTGAGGGACTTGTCACCTCCCTGCTCCCCTCGTTCTCATTCTCTGATTTGTTATTGACAGGTCTGGGGAAACCTTTGGCAGCCCCAAAATAAAGTCACTGTGCTTATTGTTCTTTTCAGGGGAGAACCCCAAACACTCCCTAACTCTGAGAAGATCGCAGAGATGGCCGGGTTCGGGTATGTTCTCGTATACTCGAGTCTCCAGCCCTTCCTCCTTCCCATATCATATTGTCTCTACAGCTACAAGACCTAAGTTCCAAGAAGCAGCAGTCCCACCACATTCTGGATCTGATCCGCACCCGGAATATCCGAATCGTCACTATCATGTCCATAATTCTGTGGTATGTAAGACCCACCTGAGGCTTCCAGGCAAGCTTCTAGAAATGGCTGTTGGGCTTCGCTTACAGACATAGCTCAAACCCAAAGTGAAAGGGAGCCCACGTTTCACAAATGAAAGGATGTGTCTTGCCGTGGATGAATAAATGGGCCTGTCACAATTCTTAATGCGATGGACCCTCAGAAAAGGAGAATATAACTATTGTAGATGATTTGGGGAACCAGGGATTTTTGGGGCGCTCATCAGGTCTGAAGGTGAATCACTGCTCACTTTGGGTCCTTGCTTAGTTGTTTCTGTCCCTCATGTCCTTCCATCTAGGCACAGACAGTGACTAAGGTAGGCAGGGGAGGCCTTAAGAAGGATCTGAGTAGAGGTACCCTATCCTGTAGGCTGCAAAAGCTGCTGAGAAGTTTATGGACATGTTCCATCTGGGATGTTCAGAGACTGTCCTGGAGTCAGGGCCAAGTCAGGGCCGCTTCCTGTCCAGATTCCTTCTTACAAGGCATTTCACAAAATACAGGAACGAATCTGTAAGTTACCAGGAAGAAGAAGGCATGTCCGAGTGCTTGGGTAGCTTTGCTTAGTGGCCGGAGCCCTGGGATTGTAGGAGAGTACCCAAGCCTGCTGAGTGAGAGGTGAGGAGGTGAGTGAGAAGAGGCTTCTCTCAGAGTCCTTACCACTGAACTCAGCCGGTCGGGCAGCCATCCAATACCCAGAGGGTACCATGAGTCACCCATTTCCAAGGAATGACCCGGGGTACCTCAGGGCAGTGCACCGCTCTTTGAGTCTGCCACAAGACAGGACCAGCATGTAGCCTGCACCTCAGACTTGCTGTTCTTCGGTGAGTCACCCCCTCTATGGTTCACCCAGGCTGTCCTTCCCGCTCTGGAATTCCCAGAGCATGATCTACTCTTTTCCTTCCTTGTATCAACTGTGTTTTCAACCTGTAGCTAAGTCAAAAACAGTCTAATCCATAAAGGTCTGGCGTGCAGAAGAGCGTGAGTCATCAACAGAATACTGCTGGGGACAGGACCCAGGCACACTGGGGGGCATGTAGACGAGATGACATGGGGCCAGTGTCAGCTGCCTTTGACTAGCCTCTTCCTGGCTGGTCACCACCGCCTGCTGGGGGTCTTTCTCCAAATGTTTGATGTAATGTTGTGCCTTATTTTGTGTTTGCTAACTTATGCATACTCAGTCTCCTTCTGTAGTTGCTGGATTTGGGGAGGTTCAGAGAATAGGGGAGCAAGCATCTGTAAATGCTGCATCTTAGAATTGTTAATTCTGAAAGGCAGGCCAGAATTTTTTTTAGTGAGATAAATCTATCAGAATTACATAAGCCCTTTCGCTGGGATACTTGGTACATGGACGCTCTGAAAGTACACTGACACAGAATTTACATATACCACCTGGGCTCGGGCCTATCTTTTATTCAGAGAAGTAAGGCTTAGGGTTAAACATGCTGCTTTCCTACACTGTGCTTAGGGAGTAGCTTAGAACTTGCCCCAGATTATTGCATTTTCTAAGTTGGGCAGGTTGGGAGCTACAAATACTGCTTCCCTAGCTTTCTCCCGCACTTCATTTCAGGATGACCATATCAGTGGGCTACTTTGGACTTTCCCTCGATACTCCTAACCTGTATGGAGACATCTACGTGAACTGCTTCCTTTCTGCCGTGGTTGAAGTCCCAGCATACCTGTTAGCCTGGCTGCTGCTGCAGTATGTGCCCCGGCGCTATTCCTTGGCCACTGCTCTCTTCCTGGGTGGCAGCGTCCTTCTCTTCGTGCAGCTGGTGCCCCCAGGTAGGGACCGTGTTGCATCCACAGTCCAGGATCTTCACTGAGGCACTGACTCTGCATTAGGCTGTCTTAATTAGTAAAGAGAACAAAACCAAGCCCCTCAAAGTCCTCCTCCTATATGCATTCTTGGCCTAAAAGTTCAAGAGAAAGTGCTTCATGAGACCAGAACATTCTTTGTTTTGGGCATGGGAGGAGTGAGAAAGAACACCCCTGGGGGTGTGGGTTCATTTTACTCTAGACCTCAGTTCATACGTTCATACTTGTTTTCCCTTCCAGAATAAGGGGGAAATAGAGAAACAGCCCCATTACTTTCTCTCCTGGCCCTCTCTTATTATTTGTTCAGCCAATAGCTGTGGAGTGCCTGCCGTGGGATAGGCGCTGGGCTTGGTGCTGATGACACAGAAGTAAACCAGTCAGGCAAAACCACAGGCCTCATGAAGCTCACGTTCTAGTGAGAAAACAGACAACAAACAAGCAAATAGAAAATGCTCACCGTTTTTCAGATTATGTTACCTTCTATGAATAAAAATAAGGGGGAGTAGGGAGCTAGTGTCATGGAAGGGCTCCTGACTGTGTCCCTGAACAGGGGGAAGTTGAGCACAAAAGAACACGAAGTGACACAAAGCCTTGACATCTGGGAAAACATCTCCAGAAGGAGAGATAAGAAAGGCAGAAACCTGACAGCGAGTGAGCCTGGCAGCTTGAGGAGAGAAAGCACTAGTAAGAGCTGAAGGAGGAGAGAGGAAGGGAAGTTTGCAGAGGCCACAGACAGGGTTTTCTTTCTGAATTGTTTTGGTATCGCACAGGTTAGTGAGAGGAGCCCTTCCTGCCAACTTCTAGAACAGTGGATGGCCCTCAGCTGTCCAGCACTGTGCCCAGAGTCTGTAGTGCTCCCAGGGATTCAGGGGCCTCTGGTAATCGCTCTGGGGCCCGTCCAGCAGGGATCCCTCTGCAGACCACAGGAGACATGGCAGGGGCCTGGGCGTGAATGAGAGGTTTCACACCTGAGCTCTCAGAGTGACGCTCCAGTCACTCAGGTCTCCTCGTTGGCCAGCAAGAAGGATAGGCCGGTTCTGCATGGTCTGTGAATTTCCTGAGGCTTGACTAAAGTGAAAGCGTGAGTTAGAGTTGAATTCTGCATTCATCCAAAAGTCGTTAGTGAGTTCCGCCAGTTCCCGCAGTATGAGGTTGTGCGGTGCGTGCTGACTGCCCGGCAGACACCTCCGTAATGACTTTCGCGCTGGAAGGCAGGCTGATTGGGCTGTAGGGAGTTTGCTGTGGTGGCCTTTAGGTTAAGGAAAATGCTTTCCTTACACAGCCAGGGGTCCCAGTCTCTTTTAAGTAATCACTTGGGAATCCTAGCTATAGTCCTGTAGCTCAGGAAGTTACAGAGAATAACCAAAACACACCTCCTCCCAAACGACTGGGGAGGAAAATGTTTGTTTTAGGCAGAACAGCAATGAAACGCTCAACAGTGGCTTACCTGGAGTTGCTGCCTGCGCCTACTTTCTCTCCGTTGCCTTTCCAGACTTGTATTACTTGGCTACAGTCCTGGTGATGGTGGGCAAGTTTGGCATCACTGCTGCCTTCTCCATGGTCTACGTGTACACAGCGGAGCTCTACCCCACGGTGGTCAGAAACATGGGGGTGGGGGTCAGCTCCACGGCGTCGCGCCTTGGCAGCATCCTGTCTCCCTACTTCGTTTACCTTGGTGAGTCCCATGGGCCAAGGGCAGACTGGAGCAATGGCACACAGGCACTAACCGGCCTTCATGTGAGCCAGAGAGAGCTGGTTACCAGGAAAACAAGCATATACGGCAAGTGGGATCCAACTGGTAATGGTCTGCTGCAGGGGGTGATTCTTGCCCAGGTGCTTTGCCTGTGTGTGTGTGTGTGTGTGTGTGTGTGTGTGTGTGTGAGAGAGAGAGAGAGAGAGAGAGAGAGAGAGACTGGGATCGAACCCAGAGCCTCACACGTGCTGGGCAAGTGCACCTCCGCTGAGCTGCACACCGGCTCTGAGGCACTCACTTCCAAATGGAGACTGTCCTACAGACCAGCCAGAAGTCAATGGGAAAGTAGGTTTGGTTTCTCTTCTGGGCAACTCAGGCCTTTATCAGAAAGTACTATTTCTTTAGCCTAAGAAACTATAGAGTGATTTAAGAAATCAGTTTATTTAATTGGAGAAATTTCTTCTTAAAGTCAGAATTTAAAAGGAGCACAAGAGGGAAATGTGCATTCAAGATGTATAATAAGCCGAGTGTAATGGTGCACGCCTGTAATCCCAGCACTCGGAGGCTGAGGCAGGAGGATCATTGTAAGTTCAAGACCAGCCTGGGCTACAAAGTGAGCTC